CCTGCGCTTGCCGCACGCACTAAGCTGAGTGGCACGTTCCTGCACGGGTGGGCAACAAGCTGTGAGTATTGGACTTGGAGGTTTTTTCCCCGTTTCGCACGGCACCCACCCCATATTCCCTCGGCTTTGGGGCCCTGGGGCCAGGGCAATTGTTCTATGGAAATCTTCGAGTCAGCATTTTATTTGTCATCTTATCAGATTCTATGATCGTTTTGGATTTGGGGTCATCAGGACCTCCGAACATCAATTGTGGGGTCCCCGGCCCCCCAAGATGAGTTCCCTTTGAAATACATAAATTTGAAAAAAAAAAAAAAAAAAAAAAGTGTGCTCCGGGACATCCGTCAAAATTGGAACGATACAGAGAAGATTAGCATGGCCCCTGCGCTTTCAAGGATGACACGCATAAATCGAGAAATGGTCCAAACTATCTAAAATGTAGTTGACGACATTTACAACACGACTTGGATGCATCTGGCCGCAAGTCCGTCCATCCAGAAATAAGCGAAAACGTGCTGCATAGTGTGAGGGTATACTCACATGGCGACCCCAAATCCGCAAAATATGTGTATTTCGGAAGGGCCGATTTGAGGTTTTGGGCATGGTTCGCGTCACACTGCTGTACCTTTTCAGATGGGGCAAGGTCGCAGCCGTCTGGAGAAATCGGGATTTGGTACTTGGCCACACGGCGCCATCCTCCAATTGTGCAAGAGCTTTTGTGAATGAATTTTTGCCAATTTTTGAAGAAAATGCAAAAAACAAAAAGGGAATTTGCGGTCAGCTTGCCTCGCCGCTCCCCATGCCGCTGACAAATGGGCACTGGAAATAGTACATTTGCGAATTTGGTAGATCTGTGTGACCGGCCTTTTCCCCTTTTTTTGGGGATTTTGGGATTATAGGTCCCCGTGTGAGTATGCTCTAAGCCGGCTGTACCGCGTAAGACTTTTTGGACTCACCTCTGGACGTCGTTGCAGGTCAGATGCATCCAGAAAAGTCCTAACTCTGAGCAACCCACGTCGAAAAAAAAAAAAAACAAAAAAAAACAACAACAACAACAACAACAGAGTGCTGGCCGCACACTGCTTCCTTCCACGTGTCGCGGTTAAACCTTTTTCCTTTTTTTCTCCTTCTTTCCTTCTTTCCTTCTTTCTCTCAATTTCAGCATGGTCCCACTAGCAAAGAGGATTGGATCGAATGTCTGAATCTGGACGTGTTTGCGGAGAAGTGCAGGAAAACAAGATTGAGCTGCTTTTCTGTATCTCCCCTTAAACCAAGCCCAGATTCAGGAGGTTCATCCTATCCTCTTTGATAGTGGGACCGTGGCCTCGGCTTAGTCGCTCTGCAGGCTATGGAGAAAAAAAAAAAAAAAAAAAAATGCTGACCGATGATACTGTAGTGCGGATCTTCAGCCAAGACGAG